TCAAGTAAGAGTATGAAGACAAATGGCAATATAAAATGAGAATACTTAGATTTGCATGCCTACTGTTCATGACTTGTGGCAGTCATTGATTGGTGAATTTTTTAACCATGCTTTATTCACCAGTCCACGTTGTCAGGCAGAAGATTGAATGCCAAGGGGATTTTTCAGGCTCAGTTTTAATCCAAGACAATCGATACCACAATGAACAAACCTAAAAATCACACCTACACCTTTCACCCGCTTTGCTTGCTTTTGGATTATCTACTCAAGGCACAAGTGAAAAGGTTATTGTAGCCACACAAGCGACAACCACGAAGGCTGAAGAAAGAAAAACTAAACTGCAAATAGCAGCAGCAGCATGAAGTAGAAGAAGGAACACAGCCAAGCTATCACTACGCCAAAAATGAGCTTTTACAGCAGCCAAAAAACGTTGCAAAAGACATTTTGCAGCGTTTTTCCAAGTGTTACGAATGTCGGTGTTACCGTAGATGGAAGACTTTTTGCAACGTTTTTTAAACGTTGCGGTAGATCTCTTTTGCAGCGTTTTTTCAACGTTGCGATAAGACCCTTTTGCAACGTTTATTAAACGTTGCGGTAGACCCTTTTTTAAACAGATATGGTAATTCAGTAATTGACCTACAAAATTAGAAATAACATTTTGTGAACCCATTTTGGAATTGCATAAAAAATGATAATTACATTATAGGTTTTTGAATTCATACACTAGAACGTTATAATGTGGTACAACACCACCTAAATAAAAAGAAGTTTCAAAATAAAATAAAATTGTAACTCTCCTAGAAGTGAATCTTCGTCACCTTCATATGATTCGTCCCAAAATTTTGATTTATTTACTCCCCAATGATGAAAGACCATTACTGCCAGCAACTAAATTATCATTTGCCATCAACTATAACCGGCTGAGCTATTCAACTCCCCAAGCTTCGCTTCCATCTTCTGTAAAAATTAGGCTGCTCTTGCTGCAACATACAAAGTCAAATTTAGTACATAATAATTATTACATTTTACCCAACCACATAATAACATAAATAACAAGCCATATAAAAATAATGGCAAGGACGAAGATAACAAAATTGAATTGTGAAGACTCAAAACAAGTCGTGGTTTCCGATTTATACTATTTAACCACCTCATTCTTGGTAGGCAAGTACAAATTATCGGTTGGCTAACTTATCCTACATTAACACACACAAAAGACTCGTAACAAAATTGAATTGTGAAGACTCAAAACAAGCAGTCTTTCTCATACATGGAAACAAGTGACTTCATTATAAATCTTAAGAGGACTGACTAGAGTAAATTATTTTACACAAAAGTCTCTCACTATTTTAAGTAAATAAATCCAGAAAGTATTCCATTGTCTAAGAAACAACATGCAACTTTAAGGTGAACGAAAAAACTTTGTTGCTACATGCTGCAGTAAATGCTCTTAATTGGGTCAGGACTCTGTCTGGCAATGTGTTGATGAAAATGAAATTCGACCACTTGTAAATGATTTATAAATTTTGCCAAACGAAGGGTGAATGAAATAATCACTAGACAAAATGATTGTGAGTATATTTACTAAAGAACATAAAACATCATACAAAAATTCCTAAGCTTTTTAATACCTAATTAATAAACGAATGATACAACAATTCCTTTTATGTGTAATGCCTAATTAATGATGAACGTACAAAATTAACTTTCCCACACTTGGACATATATAGGCATAGTTTTCATAGCTTAAGCAGAAAAGCAAGGCACACATTTCATCAAACCAAATCTAGTTCTTTTTAACAATTAACCACACATGATTCTCTTNACTTGGACATCTATAGGCATAGTTTTCATAGCTTAAGCAGAAAAGCAAGGCACACATTTCATCAAACCAAATCTAGTTCTTTTTAACAATTAACCACACATGATTCTCTTTCAACGAGTTCAATTGTTTTCTTTCAAATAAACTATACAAGAAAATTTAGTTCATTAGTACAGACAAGAGACCATACAAATTTTTTTTGAACAGAGCCTTACCTTTGTTCCTTCAGGCAAATTTTGGAGATTCCTTTCCTTACACAGAAAAAAATGGGTGGCTTGGAGTTAGAGCACGTGTTTTCATAGCCACTAGATTTGAGAGGCATAGTAGGTCGAGTAAAGTTAGTACCAGAGCTAAAAGGTTAGGAAACTGATCCTGGAAACTGATAGCAAAAGAGATATAGCCTTCAATTAATTTATGCACATGTTCGCTTGAAGCATGCCTCATGTGGCAAGCTTGACAGCTAGAACCTTGCCTCGCAAAATACATTTTGTTGTCACACCTCCGCATATTGCTTTCTATACCCTTATTGTTGGAAACCCATTTCCCCTACAGAAAACTTACGCCTTTAAGAGCATTGTCTATCAAGATTTACCTCATTTACATCCATTTCTAAATTCAGAATTCCATTTAAACCTCTTCGGATCATATATATCGGGAATCAGTATAGACACTTGGGTGAAGCAAAACCATTGCATCACCCTTGTATAAGTCAACATAAAATGAATACATTAATGTATCTTCCTAAAAAGAAACAGCATGAGCACACAGTCAAAGTTGTCGATTATATTCTCCGGCATAAGAATGCAAGAAGACAACGGTAAGAAAATCATTTGGAGGTTTCTCAATTTTTTCTACACATCCTCACTTAATCAGAACCAATCAGTATCGAAGGGCACAAAGTTTCGAAAGATTTTTTAATACATATATCTTGCAGATTAAATGATATAATATATCACAATTGATATTAGCCTGTTGAATGATTGAACTGCAGTGTACCATATATAGACCTTCTCAACATTATAAGGTCAAGCCAGTTCAGAAAATCAACATCAAGAACAATGGAATATTAAATTTAGCAGAAATTCTTTTCCTTAGTCAAACTAAACAGCAAAGAGTACCATATATACACTTCCTTTGTTTACCTTCAATTTTCTTAATACAAAAACCCTACTGAAGGTATTACCAACTTTAAACTTCTACATTTTAAGCAATTAATTACATATATTCTTTCTCCCCTTCTTAAACCCAAATTCTAGATTACAACTCAGCCACTCTTCTTCAACCTATGCCTTCTAAAATCTTAAAACCTTTAAACAAACTATTTTTGTTTCTTCAAGTTTTCATTTTCTTGTCTATTTTATTGTTTATTAAACAACCTAACCTCCTTGTAAACTAAGGCAATAGACACAAACAATAGAAGAAGTTACATTCCCCA